TAATATCAAGTTTTTAGTAGGTGGTTTATTTATTGAAATCTGTTTTTCAGGTACTTCTATAAAACTCAACAGTGACTAAAATGAAGAGGTACATTGCTGCTAAATGTTGTTTTTATCAACTACTGATTTTTCCTTACCAGAAAGATCTAAATTGTTTGATAAACTTGTTTGATTTAAATCTTTTCGGAGATTGATCGCTGGTTATTTTTGAACTTTTGTTTTTTAATTGTTTGGTCACTGAGCAGTTATATCGATAGCATCACAAATTTTTGACGCTATAAATTTCACGAATTTCTTTTCATTGGTTACTTTTGTGATATTATATTTGTTCTCTTGAATGAGGGAAAATTGTTTGTTCTGTGGAACATAATGCATAATTTACTCTGTTCTTCATTAAACATTGATCACTATGATTTGTGGGAGATGTAGTCTGATCGTCTGATCTGATCAGATGTTCTTTATTTATTTTATGACTTGCATATATAATATTTATAGTGTTTTTTTGTTTTGTATATATCATGTATAGTCTTCGTTATTTCTAATTGATTTTCATTAGTTTCTTATTATTAACGCTTTCTATAATACCTGCCCTCATTCTTTCATAGTAATTCCTTCTTGAACTCTCTGTTCATCTTCCAAAATTGATTCTATTATCTCTGTGAAATTAAGACTCAGAAAATTAGGGGGCTTTTTCAAAAATCTTTTCGTTTTGATTTTTTTGAAAATTCAATAAAATCAAAACGGAAAGATTTTTGAACTAATGATGGATTGACTAATAATTTAAAAACTTATTCGAATACTTTTCGTCAGATTACTTTTGCAATTTTAATTAAGTCAGGAGCTGCAAGAACTAGGCTGAGATGGAAGCGTGTTGGATGAGGAAGTAGAGAGTGACAACGGTTATCCAACTTCATGTTAAGCTTAAATTTAAAAGCGGGAAATGCGCACTAGTATCAAGAGCATTAAGTAGTTTGAAAAAGCTGTTTTGATAAAACCATTATTTGGTGCTTGGCCGATACGCATATCATAACAAACTATTTTGGCTTTAACCCTCATTTTTTGCAACATTTGATTCCATAGACAAGTACTCAACCAGCGCTTTGTGTTAGGCGATAAGCAGATTTGTCTTACGTGGAAGGGAATTTATGGGAGTCTTCAATTTATGAGAATTATATAATTAGTGAGTGATTCTATACATATCAATATAATACAATGGCCAGGCGATTTTTTTTTGTTAGGACTTGATTATTTCTGAAGGGTTAACTTTCTGAATCTGCTTCTCAATTTTAAATTTTGTGAAATAGGATAGCAAATATGGTGTATTACAAACACATAATACAATTGTGAATATGTCCATCATATAAGATCCATTAATTCTTGATTTCTTTTGTTACTCATATTTTACGATTATGCTTTTAAATACAAATAATTTCATTAGGTAGCAGATCAATAATTGTATTAATCTGCTACCTAATGAAATTACGATGCTACATCTCTGGAACTGGTTTTTTATCAGGACTACTACAAAATCTGATATCTGCATGACGATATCTGCATAAGAAAGCATATATAAGTAGAGCAAATAGCGCTCTTGTACTTTGAGTGAGGAATCTAATAATGATCCAGGTAAGAAAAATGTAAGGAGTCAACCATTCACCATCAAATTTGATTTTTGGCTTTTCAATTTTTGTTTCGCAACACAAAAAAGACGCTGACAGCTATGAAATAAAGTTTTTTAGAGCTAGCTGAAATTTAAGGAAAGGGAAGAAAAGCTTTGCTGTAGCTTTCTCAGCGGCACAATCTATTAAGTAATCTTTTTTAACTCCTGATTTTAAAAAGCGAATATCCAAACGTATGTTTTGCAATGCTGTGTAACAGCTGGCCCTTAATCCCTGGATGTCTTCGAAAATAATAGGCAAAATGTTTAATAATGACCCGAACTTCAACGAGTAACAGAAATTCAGAATACTGTTAGAAAAAATTACAAGTTGCCAGACAGTTTTTGAGATTTTTCTGAACCTACAAATTAAGAGCTAGGACACATATGGTGATGAAATACGCAACAGAACATTTTTTTATATTGAAAAAAAGACCTTAAATTTTAGCACTATGAAGTTTCGAACTGATCCAAAGCAATGCTCGATATGTTTCAAGGATTAGAGCAAAACGTTACTGCAACAGAAAATAGAAATCTAATTTTGTAAGGATCGATCCACCAAGACAAACTTATTTCTACCATTCAAAGAAGTTCTAATGATGCTTGATCACAACGCGCAAATGAATATAATAACTTCAATAAAAGTAATTCTTTGCTATACATGTTTTTTGTAATTAGTAGAAATGAAGGAATAGAAAACTACTCATCCCAGTCACCATCACAACGGTAGTCACCGTGTACGAAAGCACGTTCAACAAATGGTAAAACTGAAATTTTCTTTGTAAGCGATTCGATGATGTCATGAGTGATTTTGAGTGGTAAGTCATCATCCAATACAATATGTACTTCCACAGTAGCCAAAGAACCAGTATGATAAACCATAACATGGTCCAGACATTTGATATGCTCATCGTGTTCTACACAGATCCGAATGATGCGTGATAGATTTTCTTGATCACCACGTTTACCCACCAACATTGGAATATTATCGACTGCATTACAAAACCATGATGAGGCGACAAATGTGCTGCAACAAGCTATTTGACATTCTTTATGTAAAGGTCTATCCTTTAAATATTATTCAAAATAATGAAAGACGTGATCGAAGGAAAGGGATTACAAGTAGTATAAAAAAAAAAGAAAATTTTGCAAGAAAAAACATGAAATTTAAGAATTATAATCTAAGACGAATAATATTTTCACCAGACACAAATGGCTCCAATCGGGTCCGCATAAAGCCAATATTTGTCACCAATAAAAGCACTAATTAATGCAACTGCACTCGTTATAATATCATTTCGCTGATCCATCGCTAACGTCTAGAAATTTTCTCATCAGTTTGTTGGTTTATATGCGTCATAGTCTTTTATTAGTCATGTAGATGTAACTGTTCATAAACTGTCAACAGATTTGATTCCTTTTCAGAATGTTACCTTTATTTTTAGTCCTTAATTAAATTGGAATATCTATTTAAAAAAAAAGGAAAACACACCCGTGAGCCAGGTGTACCATGTTTGTAGCAAAATATCATCAACAATATTTTTATGATACAAGCAGTAACCAATATGCAAATAGTAGATACACTTGCATTCGGATATATCTGCAAATGATACATTTTCAAAGATTACCAGTATTTTAAACAGCCGTAATATTGACCAAAAAGAAGGACAAATTCAAACAAATGAATCATTGAAAAGCAAAAAACTTTAAAACTAGTATTAAGATTGAAATTAACATATTTAAAAGCCACTTAATTATCCGATAAAATTGCAAATCAGGAGGCAACTGAATTTTTTTTGTTTGAAATTCATTATTGATTAAATGAAGCATACATTCTTATTGATAATTGATTCAACTGATTGAATAATCATCATAATATTGGCGACACCCATAATGACGGAACAGATGAGGACAATAATAAGCTCTAAGCGTGCTCGTCCTCGTGGATAATTGAATGTATCCGTATTTTTGATAGCCCAAGTACTAATATAAATTAATACTCCACTAATGCAGTCTACAGCCGAATCGAGAAACGTGCTATATTAAGCAAATTTTTAGTTTTTTCGATAAAAATTTTTAACTTATCAGAACTGAAAACGGTGTTATAATGAAGGACAATGCTATTGAAAGGTTTGCAGAATTCCCAGAAAGATTTTAAATTACAAACATTTTTAAATCTTTTAAAAATAATACCTAATAATAGAAAGAGAGCCAGATAATACGGAAGCAACTCCATTGGCAAACAACAAAATAATATTTGTTGCAAAAGTTAGTCCTGCTAAAATACTGTTTATATTTCGTTTTCGTTGTTCTTCGTAATTCGACGCTTTCACTAAATTTCTATTCGAAAGATGTGCGAAAAGTTGTTCATCATGACGGTATAAGGATTGCAGGCGCTCTTGATGTTCGTTATACTACAATTTCAACAGATTAGTAGTCTACGGCCATAATAATGACTTTTGGGTTCCAATAATGCACTAATGACTAATTTTTGTGTAATATACCGTTCTTTTTTTGTTCGTATCAAAAATTTACATATAAATAAAGCAAAGAACAACACATTTTTTTAGAAAAATATATCAAGCTTTATAGTTATTCCTGCATTTCATAATAGTTTCGCAACAAGCAGTTTGCAGAAGTATGTCTATAATAGGAACATCGGTAAAATAATTAATCAGCAGTTAATAAAACAAAATGTAGAATTTGGAAAGAAATAGGACCTTATGGAGAAGTTTTTTGTGCTGCCTTCTTTTCCAGAACGAAACGTTAACTTGGCATAGGTGATTTGTTATTGCATATTTAGTTGAGGATTCTCCCGAGTAACTATTGGTGCATCCACATTCGTTTCCAAGTAAGGTTTTCCTTTCTTCCTCACTCATTTAACAACCAATCAACTGGAATTCAGAGGCATATCTTCTTTTTTCTTAAAGTGAAGGTAGCGTTGACTTTGAAGTTGGGAATTAACACATTATTTTGTTCCATTTTGAAGAAAATGGTAAAACTTTTTTAATCTCTTCAAAAATATTCTTGCACTTTTGTTGTAACTACCTTTTAATCTTTACGCTTAACAAAAAGCAGCCGTTACTTTTTTATGTTAAACAGCAGAAATTACTGATCAAAAATAGTTTTTGCTGAAAATATAATGAGCGGAAAAAGTGTCTCTGACATCCCAAAAATTGGATTTCGACTGAATATTTCCTAAGTTTTTAAAATAAAAAAAATGTTCGAATTTTTTAAATTTGACAAACTTTCTAGTCAAATTGCGAAGAACAGTGGAGAATATATGAAGAAATCTGAATTACTAATGAGAAATTTATAGAAAATAAGGGAAGGTGTCGCACAGTGACGGCATCTAAATAGAGTGATAAGAATGTCACAGCAGTCACTGCTTCATCATTTTATGATATGATAATACTGTGGACTACTAAATGTTGTAGACAGAAAGCATACGATGCATCATTCAGCAACTGCGCAATCAGTAGAATTATCGATTTCAAAAAATTAGTTTGCTAAAACAAACAATACGCCGGCTATCTTCAATAAGATGTTGATTGAACATTATAGCAAGGCGGACCATTGATTGTATCATCAACTGAGGTGATCTCCTTTAGTTCAGCCCTTCAGAAAGTATGGTCTTTTCAATTCTGACTGCATTACTAACTTGACTATATGTAATGTGCACTTCTGAATGAATGAAAACCACCGATTTTCTAATTATTAAATTAATTTACCTATTAAACCTCACAAACGTGAATGGGTTATGACGCACAACACCTCCAAAAAAATGATGTGTGTGCATTACTACAGCTGGAAAATTTTCGGAAAGACTGAATTTATGCACAAATTAGAATATGACAAGTGAGCATCAAAATTAATCTCAGGAAGTATGGGACATTTCCGAAACTGTCAACAGCATCTAACTATATAGAACCACAAAAATTTACAAAACAAAAAAGTCACTTAGAATCTCTGAAAAAGATTGGAAAGTGAAAGAAAAAACAGAATGGAAAATACTGCAATCCAGTGAAGTTTTTTTGAATCTCAAATTTTCATCAAATCCGAAAATCAACTGGATTACAGGATCACTGGATTTCCTAATAAAACATAATACAAATATGGGTCGACAAGACTAGTCAAGGAAATAAAAAGTTACTTTTACTTGAATCTTGAGATAGTGTAAACTATATTTTTCTTATTAATTCCGCTTATGTGTTTTACCAACTTTAACCTATATATACAAAAAAAGGCGTACACCTCCCCGCATTGCATTGCTCAACTACGAAAGACCAGTAGTGGAACAGCAGTCAAAAGAGATAATTTGAAACTTGGATGAATCAGTACTTGACGACACAATCTTCTGGAATCTTCGTATGCCGAACTGCATATAGGCATAATAACAGTAATAGCAATAGTAATAAATAA